TCTGTGAAATTCCTTCAAAACGCTACTCCTTCTACAGTTTTGGTCCGATTTCAATATAACTTCGCACACAAGTAGACTACACTAAGATACATAGAATATTGCATCGGTTTTTGATTTTGGTGAACGATGTTGCCATGGTTACTAAAAATAGAATTCTCTGTGAAATTCCTTTAAAACACTACTCCTTCTACAGTTTTGGTCTGATTTCAGTATTACTTGGCACACAAGTAGACTACACTAAGATACATAGAATAGTGCATCGGTTTTTAATTAAGATTTCAGAATAAGTTGGCACACATACGACGACGTATTCGTGCCATTTTAACAATGTAGAATTTTTTTTTTAAATCGTTTGTACAATTTAATAAATTGTTTGTACAATTTAGTAAATCGTTTGTACAATTTATTAAATCGTTTGTACAATTTGTTTGTTAAATCGTTTGTACAATTTATTAAATCGTTTGTACAATTTATTAAATCGTACAAACGTTTTCTTAAATTGTACAAACGATTTATTAAATTGTACAAGCGATTTAATAAATTGTACAAACGATTTATTAAATTGTACAAATGATTTATTAAATTGTACACACGATTTATTAAATCGTACAAACGGTTTAATAAATCGTACAAACGATTTTAAAAAAAATTCTACATTGTTAAAATGGCACGAATACGCCGTTGTACACACAAGTAGACTACACAAAGATACATAAAATAGTGCAATGGTTTTTGATAAGTACAAACCAGTAGAGCTACAGTCTCGACAGAGACTTCTTATTGTTGTTGTTGTGGGGGGGGCATGGTGAGTTTAGCAGATTTACGTTATTTGCTTCAGGATAAATGTTCAATGCTGCCTTGATTTATGGACCTGCTTTTTTTTTCGAGGGGATGCTCAGCTTCGCACTGCTTTTATGTATTTAATTTTTTTCCTGTCCAATTTTGTCCTCTACTTCTCATTTGCAGCAAATATTCCAATAAGTTTATGTCAAAAAGACAAAAATTATCGGCTATTAAACCTATAATTTTGTGTGATTATAGTCCATTTCCTTGCAACGAGCAAACGTGATCATTTTGATCGATTTTTTTTTAAAACTGGATCATTGCTGTGGCATTTCTCGCATTATATTCTCATCATTCGTATCATTCAGTTAACATCAATATTACTGGGACTTTACGTACTTACTCCATTATGAATCATATATTTCTATTCAAATTCAAAATATCAAAGTTTAATGACCTTTCAATTAAAATAAATTAATTCCCTGAGTATTGTCTGGATTTCCTGTAGTTAGCATAATTAATTTTTTTAGTAGCATACACGCACATGTAGATATCAAGATTAAAAATAGAATTGTATCTAAAATAAATCAAATTATTAATTTGACTAGTATTCCTCAGAGCTTTACTTTATGAAGCCAAAACATTATTGTCCAAGTCATTCGCGATTGTTCATCAAATGTTGAATTATCCTTAAAAAATACAAGTTCACTGTTGGTTATATTTTTTATCTGCTTGTCTACTAATTGGTCTCTAAATAATCTTTCTCTTGAAAGATTCTAATGTTATTACAGTTTTTTTTATGGACTTAGGCTGATAAAAGCTTCTTATTACCCAGAGCACATTAGAACATCTGAGAAACACCACCTTAATGTTGGTGATTTATGGTTACTTGTCTTAAGGTGTTGGAACTACAACTGAAAAAATAGGATCAATAGTCATTTTTCGACGGAAGACTCCTTTTTTTTTTATTAATGCTGCTTTTGAAAAACTTTGGAATTTGTAATATCTGCCACTTTAATGGATATTTCTTTATAATATCGATGACATCTGTTTACCGAGTGTAATAATTATTATCTCTTGGGTAGCTATAAGCGCTTATGGGCTTTTAATCTAAAGACACAATTAGTTGGTCGACCACCAGCTTCATTTCTAGAGATTTGCTGTAGAGAATAATCTATGGTAAAAGATCTTTGATCAAATTGCATATATGGAATATTTTTACACATACATGTATATCCATATTTCATTTCCTGCATGAATTTCGTGTTCAAGCATCTACGCTCCATGGTATAACTAAAAATTGACAGTTAAATACCTTATTAAAAAATATAAATATACACAGTTTAATCTCGGTAATAGACTATTTTACATCCAAAAGCCGAATTTGCCGTTAATTTTAACATTCAGGAAAACAATCTAGATTTCATACTGTGAAAATTGGCCCTGTTATATTTACATGATGTATAAATAAGATAAATTGGTATAAAATTTGTCAATTTTTATTATGAGAATATATGATTCTCTTTTGTCTTGTGCTAAGTGGCCAATATTGATGTCTTTGATGAATGCAGTCTGAGTGAAACGTATCATGGGAACAGACAATCTCATTTATATGGATACCAATTTAATAGAGATATTGGCGAATTTTATGAGATTGATAGCATTCATGTCATAGTATGGTTCGGGATTTTTATGTTTATGGCTTTGGTGTAATTCAATGCTTATTATAGATTTATTCATACTACATGTATATTTATTCAAGATGAAGTACAAATTTGATGAATCTGAAATGGCATCTTTTAAGATAGAAATAAAGATTATTACAGGCCTCGTTTTTTTCCTTAAGGACGTTGTTCAGGAAAGTTGTACACATTAGGGTATCTTTGTTCTAAGTGTACTTTATATTTAATCCACTTCAAACCGAATTTACTTTCAATTGGTTTAAATCCATGGACTATTAATATTCTGGAGGATGCGTTGCCAGTACTCCTATAAACGTTAATACTTATGGCATGCCATGTTTTACAAGGATCAATTTTCATCGAACGTATTATGGAAAACAGTCCCTCGCCCCCTCCCCTTTTTCCTTCAACTATTCCTATTGACATGGTGAAATGTAGCAACATATTACTCTGGGTTCATAAAATTGTTGGATGAAAAAACAAAGATGAAACAAAAAAAGATGACAAGAATAATATATCTTACTCCCGATGTATTGATATCATATTCATAGCAGAGGTCCCCTGCTATCCTTCAATTTATACCAAAAACGTAAATGATGTTGATTAGATTTGACAGACCATACTTGCAATGGCTTAAATCCAAACTAAGGTCAATCTTGAGATCTCTTATATTTAATTTGCACAGAAATTTTCATGAAAAAAGAAATAATGGCCCTATCTGTAGTTCTATTAACTGCATTGTCCCTTAAACAACATACAAAGTAAAGATACTGTAAAACATCATTTCAACAAAATCAAATTAAACATTTTTTAAGTAAGCCAAACATTTTTTGAACGATGCAGTAACATGCCACCATACAAAAAGAACATCTGCAATCTATGGGATAAATCAAGCAAGTAGTTCTTGGGCATGGCGTTATTTGTAAAATGTCTACTAAATAAATGGGGTAGGAGTATGAACGCCCTTTCATGGTTATATCATTCAGAAGTCGTCACCGAAGTTGATTATTTTCAAAGTTAGGTCAATGATGAAGGCAATGGTCAAGGGGTCAGAAATCATAGCATACTCGGAAATAACATGTCACATGAAATGCACATGTCAAATATGAAGACCCTTTCTGTTCTAAATCAAAAGTTATAAGAAAAATTAACTTATTTTGAAAATAAGGTCAGACTTAAAGTTAAAGGACAAGGTCACAAGATCAAAAATCATAGTGCATTTAGAAATGTATTGTAACAAGCAGTACGCAGATTTTTAAAACCGTATTTTTTCAATCAAAAGTCATAGAAAAGGTTTTTGAAAAGTAAGTTAAAGGACAACATCAAAATCATACTGTATACAAAAAGTTCTATTCAAAGATAATACACATCTTAAATATGAGAGCCCTATCTCTTCTCATTCAAAAGATCTGACCAAGGTTAAAGGGGGGATTTTTTGGCGAACGGACAGAACTACAGACTGGCAGACGAATGAGATTTAATGTTCCCTCGCTTTCGCGATAGCAGAGGACAACAAAGTATACACCTCATCAAGAACAATGCCATTGAAAATGGTGGAAAAGTGTTGTTTTCCTAAAATAACATTAGAATGAAATCTAGAAGTCCAAAATTTATCCCAAAAAAGGCTTGAATGGATATTGCAAAATTATATGTATGTAAAACAAAAATAACAGCATATAACACGATAGTTTGATTAATTAATATTAATAACAATTATAGATAACATGTAAATAACAATTAATTTTTTTTTTAAAAACTCTATAATAAACTAAAGAACTTAATCAGCAAAATTTAAATTAAGTATCATAAGCTATAAACAAACCATCACAGCAAAATTATTACAATTTAAAAAAAGTCAAGTATTTAGTTGATGTACGTGCACTGATATATATATTAATGAATTTTTTTGTTATTACACGCACCATTAAGAAACTCTACTTCTTCATAATTGCTATAAAAGTAGATGTTATGTTTTGCCACAGATCAGCACTCGCATATAAATTATCTGGGTCCAGTGATTTTCTTAATTAATTTTTAACATTTATTTGTTGTACCTTGAAAAATAACCTTCGTAAATGTACTGCATTATTAACAAACAAGAAATTTTAAATTTACCAGCAGTTAAGCGTGCAATTTGAAACCGGATACATTAATTTTGCAACATTCAAACAAGAAATTTAAAAATTCCATATTATCAAATCTCATTGGGTTCAACACCGTTATAATTGAAACATATATACAAAGAGATATGCATGTCATTTGTTGAATTAATAATTAAAATTATAATTAAAACTTATAATTGCCTATAACGATATCTAATTGGTATTTAAACGTTAGATGTAACATTTAAATCCCACTTACCATAACCGTTTGAGAAAATGTTTGAGTCGTGCTATACAATAATTAAACGTATTATTCCTACAAACGTTGAATTTCTTGTTAAACAGATTTTTTATACATAGCTATTGATAGCTCTTGGAGACGTATATATCATGCAATCCTACAATCTTCTGAATCATTGAAGCTACAGTTCGATCATCGTAGGGAGCATTATCTGTAGCAATGTTTTAAAGACTCTCGCATGAATAAGAAAGACATTGACAGACAAGTATATTGGAGACGTAAAGATCTGTATTTCTGGAATAGTAAAAATGAATCTTTCTCTAATCGAATTTTCAAAAAAAGATTATAATTATAGTTTTATATATAAGGATAATAGCAGTGAAACATATGGATTTAGCGGTAATAAAACTGAGGACTACGATCCGGTAGGTAGTAACTGGTTTTTTATATTTTTTTTATTTTTTTTTTTATTTTTTTTTTTTTATCAAAACTGGTCAAGTTAATGTCTAAGTGACCAACACCTTTTTTAGGAATGAGAGAAACAACAAAAAATAGGTTTTTTTTTTTTTGGTCTGACAAATTTTAAAAACAAGTTTATCATCTAATTCTTAAGGACATCGCATTGGGAAGATATTTTTAGGAATATATTTTAATAATAAAAAAATTTAGCTCGGCTTGATTTTAGAAACATCTAATGTTTTGGTGTAAGTGATAATTTGTTTTGAAAACTTGACCCGTGTTTATTTTGTTTGTTCACCATTAGCGGCAGAACTGTTGTGTTATATTTTATATTTAGTCTTTGACCATAAGAAATAGTCAAGGACTAAAATATAAAACAACGCTTCAGTTCTGCAGCTATTTCATTGTGAAAAAAAATAAATCAGACCAACAACCAATATCATAACAATTAAAATCTACTGACTTGGGACCAATTTTTAACAGTAACCGCTACTGGAAGGTTTAATATACTCTATGCCATAGTTTAATACATTTTTTCAGAAACATTCTATTCTGCATAGAGAAGACACATTAAGGACTTAGCCGTGAGTTTCGACAACGTCTTTAGTTAATATTTCACGTTTTAAAACACATCTGCCTCTTAGTAGCAAAATATGTTGAATAATTATTTACAGAATGTGCCTTTTTTCCTGCTGTTAACATGTGTGTATGTTTATACCGTTTTATTCCGTACTTTTGCATTCAAGTGAAGCAATTATAAAACGGAACAGTGTGTGTAAGAATTAATTGAATTTTTTTATTGAAATGAAAGAGAATTTGTTCTTTATCGCAAACAATGCTGATAGCCATGAAAATTAAACGTCGTAAATCTGTCTATTGTATATAAGTTTCTTATAAAAGCAAATTTCCCAATTTTTAATTTAAGACCATAATTATTCTTTTGTAATGTGGAATAGAATACATAAATCTTCTTTGAACGAATGGGATTTGGGGGAAAGCAATTAATGTTTTCATAAAAAGGACGTTTTCCATAATTCTGCAGATTTTGATTAAGTGATTGAATTAAGGTAATCGGTATAGGTTGCATAAGTCCGATTCTTTTTTGAAGATGAAGGGCTGATAAAAAATACCATACTTGTCGATTGATGTCCAATATCCTTTCATCTAAATCAGAAACCGATACACATAATTATGTTTCTTAGTGTAGTCTATTTGTGAGCCAAGTTACAATAAAATCAGACTAAAACTGTAAGAGGAATAGCTTTTTAAAAGTATTTCACAGAATTTTCTATTTTTAGAAGCCACGAAAACACCGTTCATCGAAATTAAAAACCATTAAATAAAACTATGTATCTTAGTGTTTTCTGCCTATGTGCCAAGATACATGTATACTGAAATCAGACCAAAACTGTAAGAAGAGTAGCATTTTGAAAGTATTTCACAGAAATTTCTATTTTTAGTTACCACGGAAATATTATTCATCAAAATCCAAAACAGATATAGAATTATGTGCTTGGGTGCCAAGTTACATTGAAATCAGTCTAAAACTGAAGAAAGAGTAGCATTTTGAAAGTATTTCACAAAAATTTTTAATTTTAGAATCCATGGCAACTATACCATTGATCGAAATCAAAAACCAAATATACAGAATTGTGCATCTTAGTGTAGTCTACTTGTATGTCAAGTAAAATTGAAATCAGACCAAAACTGTAGGAAATGTAGCTTTTTGAAAGTATTTCACAGAAAGAACTATATGCGGTATAGTGGTATATTGCATATATTTGCCCCTACAAAAGTCAAATTTTGAAAACTTCTTGAAATGTACTGAATTCAATAAATTGTATGAGAAATATGAATTAACAGAAAATATTATAGTGTCAAAGCAGTGTATTCACAATTTTTGATTTTATGACTTCACAAACTAGTCCGATTTTATATCCTTTTTCAGAAAGAGGACAAAATGGACAAAATTTCAACAATTTTAGCTTTAAATTTATAGAGCGCAAGTTTGTTCGGGAACAATATTGACATATTTCATTGATATTATCATTCTACACATTATATCAAAATACTGATCCTGAACACACATGCGGTCGGTTACTTTTACTCAAAATATCGACGAAATATGTACATTTTTCTGTAAAATTCATAAAAAACTGAATTTTACGTCATGTTTGTGACGTCATTACGTACATATGTCATCATTATTTATGAAAATATTCAGTGCTTTGAAGTCAGCATATACTCCCCTGTTTAAGAACTTAATTAAATATATATCCATCAAAGTTTGATTTAGGGGGCAAATATTGGTTATTACCGGATAAAGTTCTTTCTATTTTTAGAAGCCACAATACATGGCAATACCATTTATTGAAATTAAAAACTTACATACCGATTTCTGTAATTTAGTGTAGAAGTCTACTTGGGTGTCAAGTTATATTGAAATCAGACCAAAACTTTTGGAAAAGTAGCATTTGTAAAGTATTTTACAGAAATTTCTATGTATAGTTACCATGACAACATAGTTCATCGAAATATAAAACAATACACAGCATCATTTTCAATTGTATCTTAGCGTACAGTGTAGTATACATATGTGCCAAGTTATATTTAAATCAAACCAAAATTGTAAGAGAATTATTATTTTGAACATTTTGAACTTTCGGGTAAGTTCTTCTGGTATCTGATTAGTAGAGCTAAAACATCAATTGCGGGGAGATTAATTGGGGTTCAGTATCGAATTTTTGTTTTAATGAGTTGAGGTTGTACTGTAGTTGTTAAACTTTCACACTGCACTCGTATAATTAAATTTCGAGTGGTTACAAAACCTTGTTTTATTTTTGTTAATTACAACACATCGTTTTTTATTGCTTTATCTTGAACAAAATCAAAGTGTCCAATATTTAATTTTTTCCCAAATGTATATTTAAACAAAAAATCCAATTTTCTGAAACTACAATGAAAAACTAGAGCCAAACGTATGAGATATAACTAGAGACAACGTTAATTCCTAATGGTATTTTATATTCTGATGAAAACTTTTATCTATGTAAACAGAGAAAAAGTGAAGTAGCGAATTTATGAAATTTTTAATTATTAAAATGGGCCGCAAGGAAATGTAATATTTAACGACTTGATTTATTTTACGTTTTATTGAATAAAATCAATTTCCAGATATCTCTAGTGCATTTCGCTACGAATGTAGAAACAAGAATTCCAACACTACGCGTCTTTTACTTTGAACGCGTTGCACGGGTGACGCAATGGTTATCTAAAGCGCTAAAGCGTCTGCTTTAGAGTCGCGGAGCGAGAGTTGAGCCTTACCTCCCACGTTTGAATACCATTCCGACCAGTCTTTTGAAAAACATTGAAATTACTCACTGCTCAATGACTCTGAGTGATAAGTATGTATGTATGATTATATAGGTCCAAAGAGCACTTTGCTATCCTCAGTCGGCAAGTGGTGGCATCTCATTACGAGTGAAAGAACCTTCAAAGGGACGTTAAACAAACCTCTTACAACATCAGAACGCCTCAGTTGTCTTCTGTTGATAACATTCATGTAGTAAATAACTGCTCCCAATTATAGGCTGGTTTTTCATTTTAGAATGCTTTGACATTACATTGTAGATTGATACTTATCTGTATGGCTTCTTGATTCAGGAATTGAAAATTTTCTACATCCACGTCTTAATAGTTTTTACAACAAATAAAATCCCAATTTTAAGATTTGAATAACCAAGAAAGAATAAGCCATCAAATTTATTACTACTCTTTACTTGAAATGTGACATCTTGAGCAGTATTTAGGAGTTTTGCTATCTTTTCGATTTATAACTTGCAATTGAAAGACAACAGAATTATGTACTAAAAAGGGTTAGTTAAGCCCTGTTAGTATAAGAGAAACATTGGAGTCCGTATAGATGTACGTCGTATTTCAATACTTTCAATTTATTTACATCTACCCATTGCTATCGAAAATGCAAAAATGCCTCTCTTAAACAACTTACATGTATATATTAATTATTTTCAAGACATTTGGAAGACGATCTCATGTACAGAAGAACAAATGCTTTAATGTCAAATCTGGGAAGCAAAGCGAACCGAAAACCCTTGGCTATAGCGAAAATGATGTTTTTTTGGTTGTGTTGTCGTATCCATGCATATTGTCAGAATGCACTCTGAAATTTTATTATCAATTTGTATTTTCTTTCATATACGTAAAAAGACCAAAAAACATTTTGATAATATAAAAAAGCTTTGTGAGACACGGAATAAAACGAGAAATTATGACATGGTAAAATTTATTTGCATCCGTCACACGTTGCGCTTCCACTACAGTACTAAAGTATTCGGCAAACAGGAATAATATCGTGCAATTGATCAAAATATTGATATATTGGACATCAAACAGCTTTTAAAAAGAAATTTATGTGTCTGTTCCGATCTCTTGTTGATCAGCCCCTTTACAAGTCTCTGATTTGATGATTTGCATTTAGTCCTTGCGCGTCAGATTCGATCAATTCATTCCAGTGTCCAAAAATTTGACCATTGAAGATTTCTTTTATCAAGGTGCGGTCACACAATGCGATTTTTCATTCGATTTTCTTTCGACTTGCTCAGGTTAGTTGAATGGAGTCGATAGGTGGGGGGAGATTCACACGATCCGATTTTACATTTGATTTACAAACTATTTTTTGTAGAAATGAACAGGTACTAATTTAGTCAACATCATTAATATTAAGAAAAAATATCAATCATGACGTTGATGTAGTTTATACGTGACGGATCTTCATTGAACACTTCACTGGATGAAGTTTATTATGTTCTGTTTGGACAAAAAAGTCGGCATTCAATTTTGGTCTACAACAAAAAAGTGAAGTAATCACCAAGATTTACTTTGTTCCGGCGGTGTGTTCCCGTTTTGCACACATTTGATAATTAGGTATAAACAATAGGTGAGAAGTGTGTTTTGATAGCAATTATAGTCTGATTTCTGGTTTGGATTTACCTGTGAATACCTGATTTAGCTTAATGTATTCTTAAGAAATTTAATACAATTTTATAAGCATTTTATTAAAATTCTGTATATATTTATGGTAAATTTTTTTTTATTTTTTTGAATAAAACATTAATATAATTTATTTTATTTTATTTATTAATTATGTCCAATTTCTTTTAAAAAGAACACTTTTCAATCTTGATAAAATTCTAAATTAAGTAAAGATATAACACATAATAAAGAAAATAGAGAATAACAATTTATGCTCATGAAATATATCAATAAATAAATATCAAATACATTAATTTTGTATTTATTCTCTTATTTTTTTCACTATAAGTTCACCTTTTACATACTTACTAAGTATGCTGTAGACTACAGCAATTTAGTAATTATCTCACCTGGTCAAATTCCAGTTTTTCACACATTTTTTAATTACTTGCAATTCAAATGTGTGCAAAACGGGAACAAACCGTTCCGGCTTAGATCATCTCCATATGTACGACGATCTGACGTAATTATAACATGCAGTAAATTAAATTGTGAAGAGATGTACAAGTAGATTTTGTACTTTTTAGCTGGCCTACATTATGTATTAGACAAAATTAATTAAGCTATTGTGATATGCATATTATCTTATCTGAGCAAGTTGAAAAAATTAAATGAAAAATCGCATCGTGTAACCGCACCTTTAGACTTCATCTAGCAGTGCATGATATATTTTTCGAAAAATTACAAGTACATCATTTTTTCAACATCGAAACTCCATTTTTTGAGTGGATATTCTTCTGAAAGTTTCAACTTTGCTCCCTTATTTTTATAGCTTTGTTGGATAAATATGGCTGATCTGCAGATATTAACATTTACAATATCTTTATCCGAGACAAAATTACAAATATCAAAATGTGTTATTTTTTTTCGAAAGGCGCTGTTAAACAGAAAATTACGTGCGGGGTGGAACAATTAGAGACAAAAGCTGTGCGTGTAGCACGTGAATTTGCTGAATGAAGAGCATGTAAATCAAAGGAGTAACTCTAAGAATTGTTAGGTTCGTGATTAATTGATTGTATGTTGTTTAACATCCCACTCGAAAATTTTTTCACTCATTTTGAGTCGTCACCACTTGCCGGTGGAAAGCTACAAATTTTGTCCTATATTTGGCATTTAGGGCCATTGAGCAGTGAGGGATTTTTTTTTTTTTTGCAATCACCTAGTGCAACGGGACCATGGTTTGTATGGCCGCATCGATATCCGAAGGACGTGTCTCCACACCTTATAGTGAAATTCGAACCCGCGACCTAAGGATCGACTTCTTACTTAAGTTTGCGACTCAACAGAAGACCCTCTAACTGCTATGCGGGCAACTTTTTGCCTCATGACGATGATCAATCGATTGGCTTGCGTAATAATTTTATGCATAAAATTCGGCAGAAAACAGCCAAACGAGATAGAAAAATGAAAAAAGATAAACTACTTGAACCCACTCAAAATAAAAGAAAAAGAGAAAAAGAAAAGATAGGAAAAACACAAAATACATATGCCTTAATGTTTTTTTTTTTTTTTTGCACCTTTGATAAAAATCTATACCATTGTAGGCATGTTGAACGTAATTAGTTATTAGTCCTTGCCTTTTACGTGTGATTTTGAAATTTATAAAGAAGTATTGCATTTTAATTTTTTTTTTCAGACTCCAACAGTAGTTTTCCTGGCAACTATCTTCCCTTTCATGGTTGTAGGAAACAGTCTGGTTCTAACGCTGATTCTCAGAAAAAGAGGACGTAAAAACCGGGTGGATATTTTGTTTGCAAACACGGCATGTGCAGGTATCTTTATGAGAATTTTTTTTGTCATAAGTGGTGTATGTGTGGTAAATGTAAACGATTGGAGGATATATATTTTTGAAAGTAAAATGTTTCTACTTAAGGTCTCATGAAAAAACTAGCTGTAATTAGGGACCAGGCAAAATTTATCACAATGATAGGACCAGTATACAAAACAAAATTCTCATTTTAAAAATGTGCATGTCCCATGGCATTCGTATTTCAAAAAAAAAAAAAATAAATAAATAAAAATCTGTCCTATGCCTTAAGACTAAAAAAGTTTTTGTCCTATGGTTCCATTTTGATAGTGAGATTATTGGAACAATACTAATTAAATTTACCGTATTAAATAAGGCACCGTTTTGTCAAATTATATTTTTGGGTCCCCTTAAAATCCAAATCTTTCAAGACATATATTTTCGTATTATAAAATGGAGGTGAAATGCGCTCCGGAAACGCAGTGGAAAAGCTGTAAGAGTTGATTCTACGTCGCTGGTTTGAATTTAAGTGCTGTTTATAAAGACCGGTCCATCTGAGGGTCTGAATAAACGTTAACCAAAGGGTCATGTTGCAGTAGCATTAAAAGATCCCTTACTGCTAAATTTCCCCGAGAACCTAGTATATATATATATATATATATATATATATATATATATATATATATATATATATATATATATATATATATATGAAAGGAAAAAGAAAGTTAACGCATATTAAACTATTGAATTAAATTAAAGCTATTATTTCGAATATTTTTTCCAGAATTGTTATCAAACATTTTATTTCATCCATAATCAATACTCTTGTGTGACTTTGACTGATAACTCGTGAGTTATTGAAATTGTAATGTCAATACTATCCAAAAAATCAAAATAAAATTTCTCATAATCTCCCTAGCCTTTAGCATCAGTAACACTAACAGTCTTGTTTTTCTTATGCATTTTATCAGAGCATTTACCTTACTCATAGGATTATTATTTAACACTTCGGCTGCTAGTCCTAATGGTTGAAAGTAGCTGTAACATACGAAAGCTAACAAAGCCCCCGCCCAGTGAATCCCACACATTGTCGATTTAAGATAGAATTTACAGATTCTAATTGATTTGGTACACGTGAATGTTTGTAAAAAAGTCTCGTCAAACACTGGCTACATTTTCCCAGTATGAACATGTTAAAACATTTCACATACGACGCTTACGTGCGCATGTGAGAGTAAAATCGACGTAAAGTTGCCAAGCTCGCGAACCAAATTAGATCAGAGAGTTTCTGTCAGTATTCGGGTGAAAATTATGAGTATGATAGTCTGCTGTATATCAATATCGGTTTCAGTGATAATGTCTTGACGATAACCGAGGTGGCATGGTGAAAAGTCCTAAAGTATTCTGATGCGACGTTGTTACGCGCAAACGTTACCGCCATGGTTGGTTGGAAACCTTTTAAGTAATTCTCTGACAACAGAAAAAAAAATTTGGTTGAAAAGTTAAAAATAAACTGCACATCAACGTGTTGTTGCCTTTTATTCAATTTTTCAGGCCCCGTGGGGATCCGGGTTAGAATAGGACCTCAGTACCCCCTTGCTTGTCGTAAAAGGCGACTAAATGGGGCGGTCCTTCGGATGAGACCGTATAAACCGAGGCCCCGTGTCACAGCAGGTGTGGCACGATAATTTAAAAGATCCCTCCCTGCTCAAAGGCCGTAAGTGCCGAGCATAGGCCTAAATTTGCAGCCCTTCACCGGCAATGGTGACGTCTCCATGTCAGTGAAATATTCTGGAGCGGGACGTTAAACAGTATACAATTAATCAATCAATCATTTTTTCAGTTCAATTACTAGACCCCATGTAACTACCGTCAGCCAAACCATGATTGCAATAAATTTATACCGACTGCAAATATTGTAAAACGATGACTATAACTCAAATGTACCGTTTGGCACTACAAATTGTCATCACAAAATTGCCATCATCAATTTTCGCGTGTTTTTGACTTTTTATCACTTTCCACACGTGACGCCATACATTTCATGGTTGAGTACTTTTGACCATCAATTTTAGTGCAGAATTACAAAAATACAGATCTGACTAAATTTCATAATTTTCGGCCTTTGATAGTCAAACTATTTTCGCATATTACGTTCTTATGCGTTTCTTTTTCTTTCAGTGTATAAAATAAATTCTAAAACCTACAGCTCTCCACTGGGAAGTGGTACATGTACAACGTGGCGTCTCAATATGTCAGAGCGAACGATTCTCAAAGGAACGTTTCACAGAAATACAACAAAATCGCAATTATATTTAAATATGTATTGTCTTGTGAATTATTTATTATGTTCCCCAAACGAAGTTGGGGGACATATTTATTTTTATTTTCAGGTATGTGTTTCAAAACCAACGATTTTTTTATGTAATGTCATAAATTTAATTTATCGCTCCAGTGGTACAGTGGTTACGGCATCTGCTCTAACGTCGCGAAGTAAGGAGTTGAACCTTACGTGTATAAGGATATTGTATGCACCAATTGCAACCTCTCCATTTTCACATAGTTTAAAGAATATACTGTTCAGTACTTCAATTCTCAACGAGTTCCAATTATATTTCTTTTCACGGAATTGATACAAAACACATTTAAAATCTCATGAATGCACTCCTATGAAAAAAAATAACTTTAGATTAACCAATTTTTTTCTACCACAGCTATTTACTAGAAATAGTTTTTCGGTATTAGAGCTGAGTACATGTAAATTGTCTTTTAGAAATAGATCATAATTTTGTAAAAGAGATTATTGTCAGTGATTCTTCAATATCCATGCTTAGTTAAATTGTTGGGTTAAAACGGTAAAATGATACATCCGCCGGTACATGTTATTACTCAATCTAGCTGAAGATCAATTTAGGCAATTTCAGTTGGGCGTAATTAAATGCCGGTTTGAAGCCTTAAGTGATGATCACAGAAAACCATTACAAAGTGATTATATATCTGTTTATAATGTGACGTAATGATGGAAGTCTTCCCGTGGTTAAGATTAATTGTGTAAATTCCGCGCAATGAGTTTTTTCTTCAATAATCTGCGAATATCCTTTTTATGTTTGTTATTTTATCGATCATTTCCCCAATGGATAAAATTAGGAAGTTGAACTCTACATACAAGCATGTGCCTTTGCCTACAGTTTTTCTTTTATATAAAAAAGTTTTATTCAACCTCTAAGTCTCTTCATTGAAAAAGAGTCCCTTGGAATAAGATAAAAATATAATTATATAAATCATACAATATGGGCGTTATACGAGGGTTGTCCCAAAATTCCGTAGACAAGCGTTGTTTTGTAGGAACACGGATGTCATATATTAATGAAACTTCGTACATAGATTAAACCAACTCTATCTAATAAATTTATGGACAAATATGGAATATCTACACAAATTTACCCTATTTAAAAGATACATTTCATTTTCTGGTGTAGGAAGGCGGCGCAATAACCAAAAGTTGCAATTAAAAATCTTTATGTTATATTTAAAATTCTACGGAAAAGTAATAATTACTACTCTGTATTTTTTGAATGGAAGTGAAAATTCTTAAAACTGTTTTATTAACTATATTTCGGTGTTTATTCTTTAGCAGATATGAATTTTATAACGTTTTATATGCACCGGGTTGAAATCCGACATTTTGAAAATGGCGGAGGCGTTGGCACATTCGGTGCACTGGACTATGACCACGTGTTTTGATCCTGAATTTCACTCCTACAGAAATGTACAAGTCATAAATGTTTGGTAGGAAAGGACATGTTTTCTGGTTCCTAGTATTTAGAATGACTGAATTTTTTTTCTCTATGTATATGAATAACGGAAACTAAAAAAAAGACAGACATGAGTATTTGGCAAGAATGCCACTGTGCAACTCCTTTAGAAAAGACAGACGAAAAGCCGTTGAAATACAGGATTTTCAAATTATTATTATTTCATACCTGTACATGCATATACGTTGTTTACATATTTAAATGTTTTACCATACCATAGTAATTAAGACATTTTTACATTTATAGCTATAATCGTTCTGTTTAATCAAAGAATTTGATTCTGGTAATTGGAATAAATTATTTTCTTCAAAAATTTGAACCGTTGACATTTGTCTTTTTGACATTGCAGATTGCTCTTGGTGTTAGAGAACGATATCACGTCAAATGTTATTACTCGTATTGTTTTAAGTAATCATGATAAAACTTCGCAACTTATCTGCCAAGAACACTCTTTAAATACACCCAGAAAAATTAATAAAGATACATTAATTTCTTTAAAAGATATGAGCTCAGTCTACGAAATTTTGGGACAATTTGGTATAATTGATGGATTAAACTACACGCATTGAAAGAACGTCTACATTGCATACAAGATACATGTGTAGTACGTTATGTTGTGTTCATTCTTAAATTCCGGGAGGGTTAGCACTGGAACTAGGGTTACATGTTGAGCTAGCGTTAGGGTTAGGGTTAGGGCTAGGGCTATTCATCCATATCAGTTTCATCTATCATTAATTCATTCAATGCCAGGCAATAAATGTTTATGTTTTACTGCTATATGTTTACGTTATTTTTACATCACTCCTTCATAGTTTATGATTTCAACCTATATTCAAACTGAACTTTGCTGGTGGTTTATGCCAATCTCTCATACCTTGTAATTTTCCCTAGGACGACCAGCTCAATCACTTTATGCTAACCTCTGCTCTTACTTTCATGTGACCGGTAAATATGGGATGCTTACTCCTCTAGGCACTTAATCCCATATCTTATGTTTTTGGAGCTCCATGTTTGCTCTGTTCCTGACTTTTTTGGCATGAATGAACCTTTGATACATGTAACTTACTTTTCATTGTCTTAAAATTTCATTTCAAACCGCGACAAGGATTTACTTCACTCCAGAATTCTCTTTTCAGCGTTTACATACCTTCAACAAAAAATATAGTAAATTATTGCAGACTGTTAATCATGTTTTAATAAATTTCATTAGTCAGTTGATTTTTTAATTCCAAAATTTCGAAATTTTCGAACCTTGTGTATCTTTTTTATTTTATTTTGAATATGCTCACTGACGTTTTTCATACTAATTCTAAGGTCTTTATACATGTATGCACAAATATTTGGATTTTCCCGTTAATTCCCGATCATGACAAGAAGCGCACGGTAGGTGTGAACGGTTGGCAGGAGATGCTCACTCCTCCATGGCACCTGATCCCACTTGTGATTTTTTTTTGAAAATCTGTGATTTTTCCACATCTTAACAAGCAGAATACGGCGAGTGTGACCGGTCAACAGGAGATGCACATTCCTCCATGACGTCAGATTGTACTTCTGATGTTTTAGAGGTCCGTGTTTGCTCTGCTCCTGATTCGTATTGTTTGAATTTAAATTGAATAATTTTAGTGAGTACATATTTTAGACTTTAGATGGATATTCTATTTTCTTATTAAAACTTTTTAAAGATGAAAAATGACTTTAAAAATAAATATTCAGTATAATATACACCTCAACGAAGTTGGGGGGAGCTTACGTGATACCCTCGGTGTCGGCATCCCAGGTTAAGATGTTTGGTGCAGTTTTCTCTTTAAGTTCTCTGCTCCAATTCTTTATTGTTTAATGATCCTTTGGGCTTGAATAATGAAAGTTATCTCCATATATCTCATATAAATCTTTTTAAAATCTGTTTTTTCCAACGGCAATGATTGATTTCTAAAATTAATAAATGTTTCTCTCTATACCCTTATATTCTGCATATTTGATCTCTGTCCCTCAGTTAATTCGATACACAAGCGCATGCTCCATATATGTACAATTTCTAAATAGAGACAAGCTATTGACAACCAAATTAATGAAACAGGAATATCAACAACCGTTTTAAAAAGTTCATTAGGATATTAAGGTCACAACTGTTCAATATCTCGTATGCCCACCATTAACCTCAATGACGGCCTGGCAGCATCTCCCTGTTAATGAAGTCAGGTTTCGGATTACTTGTTGTGGAATATTAGTCCGTTCTGCCTGTAGCACTTGCAAAAATTGCTAAGAAATTGAGGTGCAGGTAACAGTTGTATGATATTTCTGTCTAATTCATCCCAAATATGATCTTTTGGGTTTAAATCTGGTGATTCCGAGGGACAAGGAAGAACTGAGATGTTGTTTGTGCGTAGAAACTTTATGGTTAGTCGAACTGTATGCGGTCTGGCATTGTCATGTTCAAAATTGCTGCCATGATTCTGCAGTATATGTAATAACGTGTGGTCGCAGAATTTCCTTACAGTGACCATGAGGTGTCAAAATTCCGCCTACATGTACCAGATTTGCTCTTCTGGTATGGGATATTGCAGGCCATATCATGACACTTCCACCTGTCGACTTCCTGGATGCAGTTACCATCAAAACGTTCATTTTGTCTTCTATAGATCCTTGCTCGACCATCTGCACAATGCAACAAGAACCGTGATTCATCGCTGAACGAAACTGTATTCCAGCGCTGCTGTGGCCATATTCTATGCACTGGCGACCACTTAAGCCTCTTCTTTATGATTCAAAACAACAAACCTCACTGGACGTCTTGGTCAAATACCAGCACCTCGTAATCGGTATTTGACTGTCTGATAGGAGATACTATGCCCTCAATGAACGGATGAAGCAGTTGATGTTGAGGTTTTGAATTTTTCACGCAAGTCCTGTAATGTGAAGTAGTGGCCCTGAGCAGCAGTTGTCACCCTTGGTCGGTCTGACCTTGGAAGGTCACCAGTTGATCCATGCATGTTGTCGAAACGTATCCCAAAGGCGAGTTATGGTACTTTGGGATACATTCAACACCCAATAGCTGTTTAGGATTCGCCCGCTTCTAATTGACCAAAAGCATTGTTGCGGTGGGCGTCATTTAAACGTGTCATAGCAACTGCGTTTAATGTGTAGAGATGAAGACAATTTTTACACCGAGAACCCCTGCTTTTTTTTTTATTCCGAAATCAGGTGCCATGGAGGAGTGAACATCCGCTGCCGACCGGTCACACCCACAGAGTGCTTCTTGTCATGAGCGGAAAAATCGGTGGACAACTCTGTGTAAATTATGGCCTAACAATCAGTATGAAAAGTCAGTCAGCATTTGATAAATATAATTACAAAATGGAAATGCACTATGTTCCCCTGATTTTGTGATACACACGACTTGTTCATGAAACTTTTGGAGAAGTCATTTCATCGTCACTGACAAAGTTGATATATTTACAACATAGAAGTACAAAATAAATATCAGTAGTCTCGTTTAACATCATTTCGTAAGTTCTATGGTCGATACTGGATTGCTCTGCTTCTGTTCTGTATTGTTTTATGGACTTTTCATCTTGGATGCTGTTTGTTATCTCCATGTGTTTCATCATTCATGTAACCTATACGTGTACTTCCAGACAAATGACAAAAAAAGCTTATCAAAATGGGGTCTTCTGTACCTATCAAAAGTGTAAAGTTCAAATTCTCTCTTCAGACGACAAATTATATTTAAAAAATGAAATATTTGTATACATTTTAGATCTCTGCGTGGCATTGTTTCTGGTATTAAGTGACCTGTTCTGGCACCAGTCTAAATATTGGTACATCGGTACGGCAATGTGTAAACTAGTAAAATATTTTGCAACGGTTGCTACATACAGTTCTAACTACGCCATTGTCGTTTTAAGCATAGACAGATGTTTAAGTGTTGCCAGGCCAATGCAGTCAATTTCAAGAGGTAAGGTCTTAAAAAGTCGTATACTCGTACAATGAAGCGCATTGAAGTGGTAAAACTTTTCGTTTGAATGGAAAGTTTGGATGTTTCTTATCGAAGGTTAGTTGATGCATAATGACACGCTCATTTCTTTAGAAAGAGAGAAATTTTCGTCGTTATGCTTTAGGATATCCCACTCTTTGCGACTAGCAACATGAGTTACACTGAGATTGAGATTTTAAACGTTAGAAGAGAAAGTCTGAGGGTCCTTTCTTCTTGTATTACACATATTGCAACAAAACAAAACATAATTATGCATTTATCATGTTTATTGGAGTTAACATAACAAATGTTTCGGTCAAAGACGGGCTTACTCGGGTGTTAATGTAGATCGTCAATTTGATTGGCTATTACATTTATGGAATACCCTTTTTACAGGTATTCGAATAAACCATTTGACCGATTCTTTCCTTTTCTAAAGAAATGGGCATGTCATTTATGACAATCAACGTTCTAAAAATAGCTCAAATGTTTCATTCAAAAGGAAATTTTTAGCACTTTAATGTGATTCACTGTAAGACAGCAGTTGTCTCTATATTCTTAAATGTGATAATAGTTTAGTCATTTCATAGTTGAAAATTATTTTGTAATCCTTTGCTGTTGCATACGGTTCTGTTTTGTATTTCTTGGCCATCAGTTTGGTCTAAAACTTTCATATTAATAACCATTAACAATTAGATAATTAAATGTAGATTTACAAAATAAGCTTCAATTTCATTGAAATGATTTGAAAATGATTTGGATAAAATAGTATAAAGGGTATAACTTAATTTTAAAAATGTATTAAAATGCAACAGGATTGCATCTTTAATCACATTCAATTGCCTATAGAAAGAGAAAACCTAGATTCAAATCGGATTTCGTGTTGATATTTACAGGTGTAAAAAGCTGCAGAGTGTACATAGGAATCGCTTGGGGTCTCTCATTTCTGTTCTCGATAAAAATAGCGTTTTTGTTTCGAATCCATTATCCAGATGGACGTCCCCAGTGTGGAACTATAGCTATGAGTCCAGCTGAATGGCAGGCAAGTAAATCTGTATTCACGAAGCACCATAAGAGCTACAGGCAAAGAAATCTTAATATAGTAACGAAACAGGCGATTCGAATTATTTTTAACAAGGTATCATGGTGGTATGCAAGCTATTATATAAAAAAAATTAGATACAATCATGTATGTTTGGTATGGATTTCAAAATGATTATTTTAATGCTTTTTAAAACGTCCACTCTATAGTGCATATTTCGAATAACTCTGTTTGTTATGAACGTATTTTATTGACAACATATTATCCAAGTATATCATTAACTGACATTTTCACCTTGATTTAATTAACTTTACAAAAATATTCATTTTTAATTCAGATTTGGTGTTTAACACTGTATTTTATAAAATTTAAAAAAAAACCTGTTTAGTGTCTATCTTGAAAAATGTGCCTGTTTACGAATTTTATTTGTCAAAGTAAAATTTCTTTATGAATCTCATTTATAAGGGCTTTAATCTAGATATTATAAATTAAAAGCATAGATATAAAACGACATCTTATAATGTAAACAGCAACATATTACCGTCTTAAACAATCCTGGTTCAACGGCACTCCGAAAAATTGTCAGATGAAAATTAATTCTTTTTAAGAAAAAAAATCCAATGTAAATATTTAGTATTGATCAACTACTTCTTATATTTGAAGTTATCATAAGGTCTGTTTTCTATTCACTTTTTTTTCAATTACAATTTTGAAATATTTGGGATGAGTATTTCAAGCAATTTCAATTTAAAAAATATATAAATATACAAGATTCCCTCAAATGGCAACATAGCGGATGTTGAACTTTTTGTAAATGAAAATAAGATTAGTTGGTACCCAAAGTAGGGTCTTTTAACAAGAAATACAATTATAAAGAATAAAGTCCTAGGACCACCTGTTCAAACGTTATGGCCAAGGATAATTTTTTGAAAGGTACATCAAACTCCAGGTAGGGTCAAAGGACCAAAGTTGTTGCTTTCTTAAGAAAGGTCTTGTCACAAGGATTACATTTCTGAAGTATGAAAGCCTTGGCCCTAACCGTTCAAAAGTTATGGCCAATATTAAACTTTTTAATAAGTTTGTCAAACTCCAAGGCTAAAGGGTCAAATTTGTTGGTATCCAATAAAAGGTCTTGTCACAAGGATTAAATATATCAAGTCTGAAAACCCTAGCCCTTTCCGTTCAAAAGATATGGCCGATTTTAAAGTTTCTTTTTAAAAAAGTACGTTAATTTCCAAGGTCATTGGGTCAAGGTTGTTGATGTTCAATATAAGGTCTTGTCAAAACAAATACATATGTGAAAATTGAAATTCCTTGTATCTACCGTTCAAAAGTTAAAAGTAAAAGTTTGGAATTTTGTGTAAAATTTGTTAAACTGTTAAACAAAAGGTCAAAGTTGTCAGTAGGCAATGAAAGGTCTTTCGACAAAGAATACATATTTGAAGAATAAAAGCCCTGGTATCAAATTTTCAAATGACATGGCCAAAGTAAAAGTTTGAAATTTTTGTGTAAAAGTGGGTGAAACTAATAGGTCAAATTTGGTGGTACCCAAAGAAGGTCTTGTCACAAGAATTACACATGTAAAATATGAAAGTCATACATGTACATGTAGCTCCACTAATTCAAAAGTTATAGGCAAAGTTAAAGTTTTTGCGGACAAACAGACAGACAGACAAAGGGACGGACGCGACAAAAATATAACAGATATTTCAAAGGATGAAGACTGATATTTCAATTTTTTTTATATTTTAGATTTACGTTACACTAGCAGCTATTGCTATGTTCCTGATTCCCGCCATTATTATAACCATCTGTTATACGATAATCGTCGCCATTGTTTGGAAAAAATCTGAATTTAGACTATCAGACAGAGGTAAGTGTAATTTAAAAACTTGTAAACTTATGTATATTGTAAATAAACGCATTCAGAATTTAGGACAATCTTGCTTATTAGGAGTTAAAATAATCATCCCCTTCCTATCCTTAATCAACTTGAGATATTTGTTGTACATGTCTTTTGTTACAAGATTTATTTAGTTAGAGTGTAAATCAAATTTGAATACTCATCAACTATGAGGAAAATTTAGGAAAAGTTAAAATCATTTTTTTCAAAAAATACAATTATAGCATATGACTTCAAGAATTAATACAACCACTCCTCATGTAAAAATTAAAGGTACTTGGACACAGATTTGAAGTTAATATTTTCTGTATAATATTACGAATTATATATTTTAATGGCATTTCACACAAAAATTAATTAAAAATCTTATTTCATTTAAAAGTTTTTAAAAAGTTTTTTGGCGTGTTTGATTGACACATCCTTGCACTTTCACAAGTTTTAACTTTATTCTTAATCCTTCAGAAAAGTGGCAATCTTGTTGTGTATTTGTGAGAAATATTAAAACTTTAATTCAGAAAATAATTTTATTCAGAGTAGAAATGTTAGGAAGCCAAACACCTTCACAAGTATCGTCATTCCGAGCTAAGTCGTGTGTGCAAATCGATCACACTCGTGTTATGTACACAATTTTTTTTTAAAAAAGGCACGAGCTCTGTTTTTGTTGATGTTTAGATTTCACCGGGTGGGTTCAATTGTCAAGGTCTGCTCATCACAACTGCACGGACTGAGAATATATTGTGTGTTTGTTTTGCTTTCGAACATGTCTACTCTGAATTTTCTGAAATATAGTATTAATATTTTTTCTTCATACACAACAAGATTGCCACTTTTCCTAAGTATTAAGAGTAAAATCAAAATTTGTGAAAGTGCAAGGAGGAGTCAATCAAACTCGCCAAAAAATTTGAAGTTTTAATAACTTTTAAATGAAATAAAATTTTTAATTAATTTTTGTGTGAAATGCTATTAAAATAAATAATTCGTAATATTATAGAGAAAAAATTAACTTCAAATCTGTGTCCAAGTACCTTTAAGAAAAGAAGTTACAGACAATGTTTTCTCAATAGAAATGGAAATCGTAAAGTTCACATCTTGTAATTGGAACTAACTTAAATATATTATTATTGAAATGTTTTCATATTTTTATATTACCGTGGTAATAATATTATTACTTTTATATTGACCTTCTTTGATTATTTTAACTTTATATATGAGTCGTAAAAATTTTATTGATAATTTGAAAGTAGTTATCTCTTATTATTTATTAATAAATATTTTACATAATTGTACATAATTTCAATTTTATCATGATCATTAACAACAACAAAACCTAGAAATCATTTAATTGTTTAAATAAGTCGTATTGCTCCCTTAAATTTGAGTAAAATATTAAGACTTTTAATAGTTTTTGATTTCATAAATATTTTTTAAAATATGAATGAAAAATATGAAAGAAACAAATATTTCTAGCCTCTTTTTAATAACCATATACAAATATTTACATTTCTAAATATGTTTCCATAAAATTCTTTGCAAATTAGAGTTTTGCTTATTTTCTCATGAACTACAATGACTGAGCACGTCATAATTCCGTACTTGATGTCAAAACTATAGTGCAAACTGTTTTGTTTAAAAATAAAAGTTGAATTGTGTTACCTAATCAGAAAAATAATGTAAATATAAGAAATGAATTTAATTTTTGAAAATTCATGAAGTGCATGATCTTCAACGCTTCAAACCGGCACATTAATATAGAGCGCTTCATGAAAAATATCGGCGTGAAGCGTCGTAGATCATATCCTCATGAATCTTCAAAAAATTTAAAATTCAAATCTCAAATACATGTAAATAATATTGAATTCTTAATGAGTGATATTTTTTACAGGTGCAGCAACGAATCTTACTACGACGAATGTCAGCTCTCAGACAACTGTCCCCGTAGGTAGACATTCAATATCCCGTGCCAAAATCAAGTCCATCAAAATGACGTTTGGTATTGTCATTGGTAAGTACCTTAAATTTTTCTTTTGATTCAGTGGAAATACTTTGTATCTTATTTTCAAAGGAATTCTCTCTCTAGGTATTTATACTCTCTCTCTCTTTCTCTCTCTCTCTCTCAAAGAAAATTGCAAATTCTGTACAAGTTTAATTGAATAAATTAATAATCCAGTACTTCAATTTTGAAAGGTTCTAGGGTCCAATGTCAATATGTTAAATTCCAGATAATCATATGAGAAAATACAAGAAACGTAAAAAGTTACAATATGTAATACTTTCATTTTGACTATATGTACAGACCTAACATGTAATAATATTTTCTGTCGTTTTTAGCCTTCATCGTGAGTTGGAGTCCCTACTTTATATTTAACATCCTCGTGGTATATGGTTACATACATGTATCGGATTCTCAGACCTACCAAGTTTCAGTGCTATTTCAGACGTTTGCGCCAATTAACTCCGCACTGAATCCTGTCATTTTTCTGATATTCAACGGCAAAAAATACCTTAAAATGTGTAAAAAGGCGGATCCCTCTAAAATAGAGACAAAGGAGACAAACTTTTATTCTCAGAATAATACTCATTGACACCAGAAAAGTCTTTATTTCTGGTCTAGTTGTTAAACTCAGGTCATGTGATGTGACATTGCCTATGTTGGAAAACGGTGAATTTTAGAAGGGTGACTTTGCCTATGTTGGAAAACAGAGTATTTTAGAAGACAAACTAGAAACTTCAATCTCTCAGAAGCGGTTCAACTGAAAGAAAGATTGTAGCTGATAAGACAAAACTACAATATTTATATTTGATACTTCAAGCACGATAATGTGAACTAGACTGGACAAATAAACGTACATAAGCAAAAGTAATTAGGTAAATTTGACCTAGTTTATGATTCATAAGACTGTTATTGATAATTAACATGTACTATGTATTGGATATCTGCACCATTAACGACACCCCTATGTCTGCTCTGTCCGGAAGTTTAAGGGGCACATTTGAATGGTATGATATTGAAGATCATATTTATGAATTTTATTATACCGGGTATTATTATATTTTTTCTTCATTTGAAATTATTTAATTTTTGATAAATTTAACGTTTACTGCTACAATTAAGCACATACATGAAGATATAGAAAACCACACAAGTTTGCTTGAAATATATAAAATAACAAAGATTATTATGTGCAGCTGGTTTCTACGCTTAAAAAATGATTTTGATCTTGTTTTTACCCCTACTTAGCTTATTTCTAATTACACTGTCATTTAAGAATGTAATCATGGAAGCAAATGGAACATCTCCTGTAATAATTCATACATCTGTTTTGAATGAAATGTATTAAACGGAAATGAAAAATAAAATCTTCGAAAATTCTTTTAAAAGTTTACGAAGGGTTTCAATTAATAAAGCAAAAGTCAAGGAACTAAATTAGTTTTGTTAATTTTTTGTACTGTTTTTCTTAATTCCTCCCTAATGAAAACAAATTGAAAGTTTATTCCGATGTGTTTACAACTTAATCAGAAAAGGTGAATTTGTAGACGTTTTGTTTTGTTTATATCGTTATCCAAACGATAAAGGAATGTTGTCTTTTAATATTCATTCAAACATGTATGTATCTATTAATATATTACAAAAATAAACAAAGGTTTTGGCAGTTAATTTGTATCTTTATTAATTCCAAATCTGATGGTTGGAGAAAACGTACCGGTGAGGGTGGAATCTACGTGAGTGCTAATGCTGGGGAGGATTTTTTTAAAGTCACAAAATCTCTTACAGCAAAAATGTTAACAAAATAATATATGAATATTATAAAAGTTTTGAGTACTGATAGTTTACTTAGCTGAGTAAAAAGCTTACATCCATATTTGAAAATACGATTAACTTTTCATCATAATTTCTTGTACTCGGCCAAAAAATTAACTTGTACTTTCTATCAAGGAACTTTGATATGCATCCATTAAACAAAAGAGGTAAGAAATTGGATTATTATTCTTATTTGTCGGATTAATTAATTTATTAATGTTAATTGAATGATGAATTCTTGAGTAAATGTCATAGTTTTAATGAGTTTAGGATGAAGGACACATGTACATATATGTAACGACAAAAAGTAGTTTTTAAGACAAGCAAAAATTAACGACGGGTTTTCCGGTATTTACCGATCATGATTGGGAGCTCAAAGCTGGTATGACCGGTCGGCATGGGATGCTCACTTCTCCATGGTACCTGATCCCATAGAAAACCATACACGTTTGTTTGAAATATCCATGTAAAATGTTATGTGCATCTGGTCATGGTTTCTATGCCTGAAAATGTTTTCGATCTTGTTTTTTAAAAAGTCAAGGAACTAAATCAGTTTTGTTAATTTTTTGTACTGTTTTTCTTAATTCCTCCCTAATGAAAACAAATTGAAAGTATCATCCGATTTCTTTTTATCGTATCGTTATCCCCACGATAAAGGAATGATGTCTTTGAATTCAATCACATGCTTTAATTAATAAATTACAAAAATAATGCGATTTAACCACCAGGCGCGTAGCCAGCATGGAAATGAAGTGTACGCAGAAAACGGTCGGGGGTCTGGGGGCCGCCCTGAGGGGCCCAGGGGGCGAACCCCCCCGAAGCTCCTGGATTTTACGAAATTTTTCAGTCATTTTCTCGCAAAAGAAATCACGATAATATCACTTTTCTCGAGCAAACACGTAGCTATAAGTTAAACTGCTTCAATTGATACTTCGGGAAGAGAACGATAATTTATCAAATTAATTTACGCATATATAGGTATTGGAAAAAAGTTTCCAAGTGTATCAAGATAAAACAGAGTAACAATTTCAATATCTTTATCATTGGAGTTTAAATATTTCAAAATATAAACGGGGTTGTTGTTGTCTTTTGATTACCTTCATATTTGATAGCTGAAACGATTCGAGAATGCTTCAATTATAATATAATTCTTTAAATTGGTAACATCAGTAAAAGAAGCTATATTATTATTTATTTTGTTCACCATAATTTAAATTGTTTAACAACATTTATTCATTACCTCTACGGACATTAAATATCTTGGATAGTCGTCCAAGACCTTTGTAACTTTTTCTTTCGATCAAAATCCCTTGGATCGCTTTCCTTATCAAATATTTGTCCGGATAATCATGATTACGCGGATTAACAGTTGAACATTCTGGTTCAACAATTTTTTTTTCCTCAAGAATGTTGAAATATGTTTTTGGAATTGATTTTATAAAGGACTAAATTTGAATGTGCAGACATGCTGAAAAAAATTGCATCGAAACAATAAGACGCAAAATAATTTGAAACATGGGTAGTGCTCTTTTTCCCCGAATAAAATTCTCTCTTTCTTTTTTCCCCTTCTTTTCTTTTATCCCTCTTTCTTTCTTTTTTTTGGAAAATGATGTGTACGCACTTGCGTACTTGCGTATAGGCAGCTACGCGCCTGACCACTTAAGGTTTAATCCATTTATCAAAGTGCCATTAAGCTTTTTAGTACTGCAGCTTTTGGGGGGATCATTCCGGTCCTGGACTTGTATTTAGCGCCATCCTGTTCTCAAGGTTTTGGGGTTATTAGTCGAACCCAAGTATCAAAACCTGTGACGCCGAGTGCAAAAAATCAAGTTTCTGCAAAATTTCAATGAGGTAAGACGTGTTTCTCGCATTGAATTCTTTTCCCACGTGCTCAACTGCCTTTGGCGTAATTATGTTCCCCAAACGAAGTTGGGGAACATATTGTTTTTACTCTGTTTCTTATTATTATTATTATTATTATTATTATTATTCCTGGGAAAATTTTGTCCACGAGTGATCTCGTAAACTATACATCCGACTGAGGTGAAACATTTTTAGGGTAAGTAGGCATGTTATGTAGAGTTGCCGAACGAAGGTCATTTTGCGCGCACGTGCTTGCAAGAGCGCGCACGTGCAACACGTAAAATGATCAGTATAATGTATACTGCCGTAACTTTTCTATTTTTTGATGAAATGCTTTGAAACTCATAATGTAAGGATATAATAGTAGTATAGACAAGATGACGTGGTCAAAATAGCAAGATCTCACGCGCATGCACGTGCGCTTTACTCTGATTGGCTGAAACTAAAGTCTCAATATCTTTCTTGTTTTTTGACGAAATCCTTTGAAATTTTAAACATAGCCATGCATTAGGATATCCTACAATATAATATATAGCAATTATCATGAAAACACGTGTATGCACGTACGCTGCAATCTGATTGGCTGAAACTTTAAATAGCTATAACTCCCTCGGTTTTCAACCACAGGATAGGATTTAGAACATAGATATATATTATGGACTTCTACAAGAAGGTATGGTCACCATGTACATGCATACACGTGTGTGTACGTGCGCTGCAATCTGATTGGCTGAAACTTTTAACAGCTATAACTGCCTTGGTTTTCAACCAAACAGGATGGGATTTGGAGCATAGATATATATAATGGACTTCTACAAGAAGGTTTGGTCACATACACATGCATACATGTGCTTGTACGTGCGCTGCAATCTTATTGGCTGAAATGTTAAACAGCTATAACTGCCTTGGTTTTCAACAAAACAGGTTGGGATTTAGAACATAGATATATGTAATGAATTCTTACAAGAAGGTATGGTCAACATGCTCATGTATGCACGTGTGTGCACGTGAAATGGGAACATTGTAAAATCAAAAATACACTTGAATTAGTGTTTTGTTTTATATACTTTTGAATTAAATACTTTAATATTTAGCATATCAAAATATTTAGATTGTGTAGACAATATGATATGGTCATTACACACATGCATTCACATGCGCATGCGTGCAATGCTAAAATTTGAATGAACTTGGCGTTGTCAAAGTCTCAAATGCATAGACTTTAATGAAGCTTACAGGGGATATGGCACAAAAAGGAGTTGGGGAGCGTTTGGGGAACATCTGTAACGGTCCCCGTTACAATTAGCACTAGTTTCTTTATTGTCTTGCGAAGCATCGTATATCATGTTCGCTCCCTGTTAAATATTTTGAACACGATTATTGCAGTGATCGTATTATTATCTGATTTTAAGTAGGGCTTAGGCCTACACTTATTTGTTTCCCTTGTTTCCGTTCGCCTAGCTACACGTGGCCTAAGATACATAGGCATAAATTACAGTAATTGTTTCCATAACCCGACTGTTTGTTGTCAGAGTTTAATGTTTTGTTTTTTGTGTGTATTTCATAACGAGCATCATAACGCCAACGACAATGTCCTAAACATTAAGCGTGATTGGACGCTTTTACCAAGAAGACGCGCCAGGCGCAAAGATGGCGCTCCTCCATCTCGGGCCAGTCAAGGTCAACCTGGAATCAGGTGAAGCAGGAGCCAGTCGTCTTAGTTTATCTAATGAGCAGTAGCAACCTAATCAAGCACAGTGAGACACCCCCCCCCCCCAATGCACATCGAGCCACTGGAAATCCCCAATGGCCACACGGCAACAGAGTCAAGGTACAGAACCCGTTTTTGATAAATGACAATTACTCTGCATTAAAACTAAGCTACAAAAAAAAAAAAAAAAAAAAAAAAAAAAGAATTATAGCTTAAAATTTTTTATTGTGGAAAATTCATATGGTATCAATCCAAATGATGAGACTAGGTATTTCTCCATGAAAGAGGGTAGCCTCACCCTGGCCCTGAAAGCTAAAGCAAAGATAATTGACGACATTCAGACGAATGTTTTTCTCAGCCCATCTCAAGAGCAGAGTTCAGTTCAATATATTCATACTATTAGGTTAGGGGCAAGTAGAGTAAAGACACTCGGGTGGCGCAGCTAGGACATTCAGCTCAGATTCAAGAAGGAGGCTAACCCATGTCTTTCTCATTTGCTGTTGTTGATTATGAGCTATGACTCTTGTACATGTATTAATATATATAGTGCCCCTAGCACACATATTTATATACCTCACCCTCTCCTCCTTAAGTGTTGTGGATTCAATTACAAGGGCATATGTAATAAACTCATATATAAATACAAACATGAATGTTGATATGTTCATATAACCATCTCTACTTTAAATACAAGACATCCCCAGGCTCTAGTTTGAATGTTAGGCCTACTGGCCTGCAAGCAACATGGCGGCCCCAGCTACCCGGGAGACCTACAGCATCGTGTTAAGCTATTAGAGCACCTTATACCCAACGAGCTGGACCTCAGTAATATTGCAGCAAGCCCTATTATTGTACTTACATGTAGATAAGGCAAAATGTTAGCATATCACCCACTTGGCTTGGTAGCTTTAAAACTTTTG